TAGAAAAGAAAAATATATGTTTTCATAAGATTTGTATTATGTCTTCAAAATTGCACTGAGGTTAGAAGCTATAACTTTAAGATGATTTTCACTAAGCTTACCTCAAAATTTGATTCATCAGACCACAGAACATTCGACCAATCTTCTTCCGTGAAATGTAGGTACCGGCGAGCCCATTCCAAACGATTTTTCCTATTCTTTTCTAAGAGCCGCAGCTTCTTTCATATTTCCTTTTAAGCCTGCTTCCAGAAGTCTTCTTCTAGCTGTTGAGCACTAACTGGTTTACTAAATTCATCCGAAAGGGCAGAAGAAGATTTTTTGCGATCATTGAGAGACTTGCGTATAAGTTTTCGGTCTTCTAGTTTACTAGTTAAACGCTTTCTTCCACTTTTTGATTTATTATTGTGGGACTTCGTCTCCACAAATCGCCTGATAGCACATTGGACCGCGCACCGTGAACATCCTATCATCGTAACTAATTTCACTTGTTTTAGGCATTTCGGTAAATATGAACTGTATTTATAAAAATGGTAACTTTTCAATTTATGTAATTTACACATTCACTTTCAAATTTTCAAAGCCAAAATATTTTATAAATTTCTTAAAAATTACAAGTTTTAGGTTTAGCTTACCCAGAGTGCTATCACTTTTATTATTACACAATTTATTCGTTTAATCAACAGTTTAACACCCATGCAAATTTTAAAAGCGAAAATTTTTTATGAATTTTTTAAAAATGACAATTTTTAGGTTTAACTTACCCACAGTGCTACGACTTTTAATATTACACAATTTATTCGTTTAATCAACATTTCAACACCCATGTAAGACATTTACAAAAAGATGAGGTATCAAAGCTAGCCACATTTGAGAATACTTGTATTTTAGTGGGGTGCCTAATACTTTTGGCCAAGGCTGTATACAATGTACATAGGTACATGCATTAAAGGCTAAATACGGAACTCTATGCAAGTTGAGCATTGCCATCTAGAAAATTAAATGCGATATTGCCTTTAGAATCTACATTAAAGGAGATTACTTGAATAAAGGTCAATTTTCATTTCTTATGAGTTAAGTACAATAATATTTAGTGATTTAAATTAAATATGGGTCTGTTTTCCAAGTTTCTTCAAGCCACCAGTTTGCAGTGTGTGCCAGCTAGTGATTTTTTTTTAGTGCTAATGAATATTGATGATATATGCTCAGTGGCATTAAGCTATATATCATACGGGCAGGCGCAGCAGCAAACTGCATATTGATGTGCGCAGCAAGAAAAGTTTTGAGCATGAGCATGTCCTTGTGCCTTTGGTATCGTAAAATTCAATCGTGCATGGTTAGTGTTGCCGTTTACTTGAACATATCGCAGTGCGAAATACATTTCACTTCCATTCAACGTTTTTTTCCTGACATTCTTAATATTGCCTTTGCTGTTAAGTTTCTGTATCATATAATTTTTATGTAACTTAAGTCCATGTAAAGATGGGTATTTGTTGTTTCTTATGTAAGAGACCAAGACTCGACAATGATGGTGTAAGTATATAAAAAACGATAAATTATTTCTGCAATATCATTTTGGCGTTATTAAAAAGCGATACTAATATTAATTCGTAAATCTGACATTGGATCTTTTGTCAATAAATCAACTGCTGATGGCATAGACTCTATTGTTGGGCTTCAAGACAAGATCTGGATCTGCTATTCAATTTTTATTCAGCCAAAGATGATGGGGCGTTCTGTAAATGATGCGTGCTTTTTCCTGTAAATGAAGTAGGAAATCGAGTATTGGGCCAGTTAGTATTAAAACCTTTTACTGCTCAAGGACATAATTGCACGCTTCAAGTTATGCAGTTTCAGACAAGTTGGAGAACATACAGGGTCCGCCACGTAACTTTTTTTTTTAAATGCAATAAAACAAAAATGGTTATCCGATAATCAAATTTATTTTTTCATATTAAAGTACATTCCTTCCGGTTACTTATGGAATACAAGTTCGTTCAAACGTTGGCTGTGTGGCACGGAGCGCCGTCTTGCCAATGATGCCGCCGGCCCAAAATCCGCACCAAACAGTAACTTTCTGCGGATGCATTGGCTTCTCTTCGATCACGTGCGGGTTTTCCGTCCCCCAAATACGACAATTTTGTTTATTGGCGTAGCCGCCAAGATGGAAATGAGCTTCGTCGGAAAAGGTGATTTTTTGGTAAAATTCCGGGTCTTCGGCCCATTCGGCATTCGTATACACAACCATTTTCGTTCAGCGGAAGGATAAAACTAACTAAAATTAATTAAACGTAAAGCAAATCCATCGCATACTATTTATAGATAAAATTTTCCAGTAAAATTTCAGAATGGTACAGGTGCAAACGAAGTTACTGGAGGTTTTCTACCTCGGGAAGCAATACGCATGTGCAAGATAAGGTTAACGCTCGAAAATTCTATGAAAAGGTGCTTACAGAAGTTTCAAGACCGGAGCAGACTTCTGTAGTACCCAGAGGAACGATCTAGTTACGGATGCCCAGAGTATACGGAATTTATAGAGGGAACACTTCGCAAGCCTGCTGACTGGCAGTGAAAATGATACCACCGGAGATAGTTATCCCGAAATCTCAATCGATCAAGATGGAAAAGACGTTCTACTACCCGACTATCCCGAGGTTCCAATAGTGATTACCCGCCTAAAGAACAACAAAGCTGACAGCCTACGGCGCTGCTATTCAAATTTTGCGGTCAAGACTAAAGACCACTGTCAATAAACTGATTGGACCTTATCAGTGTGGCTTTAGACCTGGTTATTCAACTATTGCCTAGAAATTTACCATACGCCAAATCTTAAAAAAGACTTTTGAAAGAGGATCAACACACACCATCTCTTCGTCGATTTTAAAGGAGTACTTGGCATTACGAATAGGAGCTGCCCTTACGACGCTTTGTCTGAATCTGGTATTCCCGCAAATTTTATACGCCTATGTATATTGACCTTAAGCAACACTAAAAGCTGTGTCAGGATCGGGAGGGTCTTTTCAAGCCACCCGATATCAAATAAGGCCTCAGACAAAGTGATTGCTCATCGTGTGACTTTATTGTGAGAGAAATTAATAGCAGCTGCAGGGTTGAATATTAACATTATTAGCCTCAGCAACCGTGCCGAGTTCTGCTTTCTCCAGACTGGATAAGGAAGCGAAGGATATGGGACTGGTAGTGAACGAGGGCAGGACGAAAAAAATCTCTCAGTCGTCGCATTCGCGACTTGCACCCCACATCACTTTTGATAGTTACAATTTTGAAGTCGTAGATAACTTTATTTATCTTGCAACGCAGAATCACTCTTGCCAACAAGTCTTACTTTAGACTGAGCAGGCAACTGAAAATGAAAGTCCTCTCTCGACGAACGAAAACCAAACTCGCCTATGACGATGACATGCGTCGCCGCAGACGATGGAACGATATATACACATGATAACGTTGACGGAATTCAGCGATTCAAGAAACAGGGGTTGCGCTGGCTTGGTCAAGTGGTCTGGAAGGATTAAAAAAATCCACCTTTGCAAGTTTGGGTTGCAGTATCCGCCGGTGGAAGCTTAGGAAAAGGAAGACCTTCACTTCATTGCTCGGCTATATCGCGTAATCAGTACGCGTAGTAATCAGTAAAGAAGTAGAAGTCTTTTTTTTTGGTATAATGGCCTATCTTCAAATTTCTTTTAACTTTCTCCAATTATTTGAATAGTTATACAGTTATGTGCATGTCCTCTAAAAACAAGAAACGTGGTCAAGTTTGAATAACTATTTTGTAGTAAGTTTTAACAAATTTAACGCCCTGTGTAAAACAAAACATGTTTGGTTTGCTTTTGAAACCATGCAATGAATAATTCTATATACACATTTATATACACATTTATTTTTCCTTTATAAAATTTGTAAAGGTATTATTAAACGTTTCTTCTATTAATTTAGTTTCTTTTAAAATAATAAATGTCCTAATAGCATTCATTTTTAGTATTAAAAAAGGAAAAGAAAACAGTAATGTATGGAGCAATGTTATACGAAATTTCACAGCAGCGTAACTTATACGCTATTATTTATTTCGCCATAGAAATTTTTGTGAGTGAATTACAGCAAAAGTGGGTAATTTGTTCTCAATTGCAATGCGAATTACGACAAAGCAGCTGCATTCTCTAATTCTTATCCAAACCAGTTAACAAATAATAACAAAAGAGATGAAAATCATAAAAGAAAACACTAATACACAAACATTTATTTGGAACCAAACACTATACAAACACTATAAAGAAGAATAAAATTAGAAATTATTAAAGAAACTGGCATTACATTACCAATTCAATTCAATATTTATGCTAACCTCTACTAAAATCGTTCATTTCTTACGCGTTTTCATATGGAACAAACAAGCGAAAACTAAAACTGAGTGAACGGGGGTAATTGGGGTAATTCGCATTCGTAATTGAGAGGATAGCAATGTGTTTCACGATGCCGTGGAAAAGCCGTATTAAGCTTTGCTTCCAATGGTAAAGTCTAAACTGTGACTGCCGGAATTCTTCCAATTATATTCATGTTCGTTTTCTTTTAGTTATTGCAACGTTACTACTGCTCTTACCAAGTAGGCGATCATTTCAGGTACCTTTTTTTTTATTACACGATTTAGTATATTTATTTGCCAACACATTTTGTTATTTATATTTAATTACCTTGGAATTTCGCACTTTTACCATATTTTAATACAAAAATCTATTGTTTTTCTTGTTTTTTATTATTTGAAATATATATGTGCACTGGTAGTAAAAAATAATAATATCAAGAGAAAAGCATAGCTGAATCGCTGAAAACACAATACTTAACTAAAATTTGAACTATAACCATGCGCCGAAGCCAACATGTTTATATCTCGTTTTCTGCTACAAAAAATGCACACGAAGAGCTATTTTATTTATTTGTGTTTGCTTTTGCTTATTGAAAGTTGATCTGCATTTTCTCTTCACTTCCAAAAGGTAATGCCTTACCAAATTTACTAGATGGTTTTTCCGCACTTGCAATATTGCTTTGTAATTGGAGTCGTTGAAACGAGAACAATAATCGGCTAACAAGAAGCTGGTGACGAGACGTGAATTGGCAATAGTAAATTACAGAGTAGTCCCTATTGGATTACTGTATGTGGACCACAAATATTTTGAAGGTATGTGAATGTCATAATTTCATTTCTCCTTTGCTTCAGTTATGTACACATATACACACATTCATATTCTTGTAGGTGTTATATTTTGATGCATACATTTCCCATCAGCAAAAGGGCCTTACCTGAAAGGGAAAAGGAAAAGTGGAAACTGTCTCTCATTCTTGAATTCACTACTGATAATTAACACGGCGATGCCATAACAAATATAATTTGGAGTAAAAAATTTGTTTGAGTTTGGACCAAAGGTAAAGTAGGTATGCAGATCTGAGTTATGCCAAGGTCAGGCGGGTCTTTCGAGCCAGCTCGACCTCTTTGTCTGCTAAGGGTGGTGATTTTACTCCGAGCACGTCATTCACTGGAAGGGAGTCTTTGAAGGTGTTCTCTGACTCCTGATGAATGGCGTTCAGTGCTTGTCTGTACGCCGTCCTTTCCAGCGGTTGTTGCACATGTTGCTGGATTGTGTCCTTTAGATCTAGTACTCCCTTTCTGATGTGCCTGGGTGGAGGTTCAGTTACTATTAAGTGCGGTAGCATCCCAATAGGAACTGCTTGCACAGCAAAGCATTATGCTCCTTAACTCGCAGCATAGATACTTCGCTGTGCAAGTGATGCTCCGGCGACATGAAAAGGTTTCCTGTCGCAGTCCTAAGGCGGTTTTCCTGCAAGCCTGTAGCTTCTTCATCTGCGTCTCGTTCGTTCCTGAAGCCCAGTTCGGTGCAGCATAGTTTACGACCGGTAGGCTGTCTAGTGTTACTCCCAATATATTTGGGTTTTTTACAGTCGAAATTTTTGTGCCATCGACCTTCACATCTAGTTTAAGCCTGTTCTCTATCGTCCAGCTGGTGGAGAGGGTAGCCGAGGATTTAGTCGGTTGTACTTTTAACTGTCTTGTAGTGAAGAAGTGAGAAAGGTCGGCAAGGTAGCAGTTCACTTTCGAACAGCGGTCATCAATATCCTGGGCAGACGCCATTATCGTACAATCATCAGCATACGTGGTTAGGGAAACTTCTTCTGGTGGAGGAGGGAGTTTCGAAACATAAAAATTAAACAGTAACGGGGAGAGGACAGCACCCTGCGGAACCCCCTGTCTAATTTTTCTGGGTTTCGATGTTTCACCTCGGAATATTATCGATGATTATCGACCACTCCGGGAGCTCATGACGTACCCCTGCAACCCCGGCGGTAATGAGGAGTCCTCAATGTCCGATAGTAGCACTGAATGATTGACTGTGTCAAAAGCTTTTGACAAATCCAGTGCTATCAGGATAGTTCGCGCTTAGGGTCGGTTTTATTTTATTGACTCTCTGGGTGCTTATGGCGTTTAGTACTGTTGTGGTGCTGAGCACTTTTCGAAAGCCATACTGATGTGCTGCTGGACGCAGATGGTGAGTAAAGGTTAGGAGCCTCAAGTGTCTTCGCTACTGGGCAGACGAGAGTTTTCGGCCGATAAAACTCGCCTTTGTTGGCTGAACTCCCCGGTTTGAGTAGCGGGACCACCCTGCCCATTTTCCACATGTCAGGTATCATTAGGGTGGTCAAAGACAAATTGAGGAGCTCCGTGAAAAATTTGGCTCCCGCTGGATGTTTGAGTATCAGCATGCTTATTCCGTCGAGGCAGATGGTTTTAAAGGCTTTCACCTTCCCGACGACGGCGGGTTACACGTCGCTTCGCTTTGACTACCGAAGGATGCAGTGTGAAAAGTCAGCTAAAATAACTCGCGCATCTCGTCAGGTCCTACGGTCAACGCGTTTCGTCGGGTTAAACAACGACTTGACTGTAGTCCAGAGCTTGGTTGCCCCTGAGGAGAGGTTGCAGGTCCTTAAGTGTTCCTCCCAATTGTGGTTGTTCACTACTCTACGAATCTCCGCGTTTGAATGCCTGATTAGGGGATTCCCGGGATCGGAGCTTCGGAGGGTGTTGCGCCTGAATGCTAATAGTGTCGCTTCTGTCGGAAAATTTGAGCGCATTTCCGCAATTTGGCCTGCCGGTATGAAACGGCCGGAAACGATCACGACGACCTAGTGGAAAAAACCCTCACCAGTGGTAACGTCTGATGGAGTGGATAGAGCACTAAAGGCTTTCTCAGTGAATTCCGTGAAGCCGGTCCACTTAGCTTTTTTGAATTTAACAAGTGTCCGGCGATCCGCGGAAATAAAGTCGGGAAGCCTGTCAAATGAGATTTGTATGAGCAAGTGGTTCGATGCTAGTGTCAGTACAGGTCGCCAGACTATACTGTTTATCAGACCAGCACTCGCAATTGTTATATTCGGCGAGCTTTGGCAATTATTCGATAAGATGATACTGCACAGTGTTGTGCAGAATGAACGCTGGGCCCCCACCATGGTCTCGCTTGCGAACCTTGCGGATTAGGCTGTATCCAGCCCGGCTCAATTGACAGGTGCTCCCGGCTCATATAGTCGACTATCTCGTCGATCTTTCCCTGGAGTCCGTTGCAGTTGAATTGCAAGAGTCGGGTCTGTATCACGTTCGTGATACGGGGGGTGAGGGAGTGAAACGCGGAAGGAGAGTGTTGCTGCTGTAATGCCCGCTGAGGTTGATGTTTGGGTGTTTGGGCGCTGAGCAGGTAACTCCAACCATTGCGCTGGTTGCACCTAACCGAGGTGGAGTCTTTTATGACACACGCAGCAGAAATAGTCCGTCGGACCAGGGTTGGTTTCTACGCCAGCCCTGTTAAGAAGGATTTGGAGCAACCCAGCTGCAAGGTGTTGCTCCGTTGGTGAACTTAAACTAATGTTAGCTGTTGACATATACGGGGTTAAGTCGCCGAAAGGGTGACGGCCCTAGGCCGGATAAAATCCGGGCCAACTTTGGTACGTACAACCGGCTGTGCTGAGAGTTGTGTGTTCAATTGTGTTTTGTTTTGGTTATTGCAACTTCACTATAGGGCCTACCAAGAAAGCTGGCAAATTAATTTTGATCGCATTCTAGAGAATATTACTCCGTTTATTATGCATTATATCAAACATATATCAAAAATTGACAATATGGCGGCGTTTTAAAAAAAAAATATTAGAATTTTACCTAAAATTTTGGTCGTTTTTGGCCTGCCATTTCAAATTACACTTGCCAGTTGATAAAGTAAAAAGAAAAATATTCACATCGAAATGGAAGACGGTGCACAACAAAATTTAAAAGTTTTATTCATTTGCTAATTAAATCATAAATATTTGAGCCTAATTATGGAAAATCTGCCTGAGGAACAAAAAATAGCTGAATGAAAACGTTATCTCACAAATTAATGGGCTATTCTTTAGTCTCGAGAACTTCTTAAAATACGGCTTTTTGCACTTTTTTCTTTATTTTCAATGAATTCCATGCCTAAAATATGCCTACCCATTTTTGTTTTTTATTTTTTCTCAAGCTTACAACACAAAATCAAACAGCAGATATTTTTGTTACCTCCTATTTCGCTGGTAACAAAATTTACCGGGTANTGTTACCTCGACAGAATAGGCCTGTAGGTGTGCCTCTTAATTATTATTGTTAGCGAAATGCGATGATATCGCTGCGTTTGTTGAGTAGTTCTGATTAAAAATATTATTATATTAAATATAGTATGTATGCCAAAAATTACTTGTGTTGAAAGAACTTGTACTTCAAGCTTACATAACCCCTACTTTCTCAAAAGACGAATTGCGACTATAATTCAAACTATCACCAAGCGCCTGCGCCGACATATTTATGTTTCATTTCTGTATTTTCTGCAACAACAAATCCTATAGTTTTTTTTTCTTTTTCTCTTGGGAGAGTTTGTGTTTGCTACTTTAGCATTGGTCTTCACACATACACATATTCGAGTGTAGTCGGCTCGGATTGAGTTGAGTGCAAATGAAAATGAGCGCGCATTGAGTATAAAATGAAATAGATTTGTAGAGTAGAGAGTAGAGAGAAGCGTCTCAAGTGGTGTGGTAGGTGTAAATGGTTGGCAGAGCGAGGGTGAAATAATACGAATACCATATTTACACAGATATAAAGGCTGCATACATTAAGAAGTATATGTATAAGTTCACATATACGCTCTAGTTTTTGGGTACATAAAGGTACGGTGTCTCCCTTGTCGCAAAATACACTACTCTTATCCTCAGTTGATGGAATATACATACTAGGAGTATATATGAGACAAAGCATCTTTCAAGATAACTAATTAAACGCAATTACTGGATTGGCTAGTATATATGTGTAGAATATACATATAAGCAGCGTGGTAGTGATTGTAGTCGTCCTACAGTTCGTAAGTATATTTGTAAATATGTTTGCACAAACCCAGTAGCAAAGAGTAATGGCTAACGTAAAAAGTGGTTACAGTGTTGGAAAGCAATCATTACCGATGATATTTCTGCGTAGATTTAATGTTTAAAAACTCACTTTAACAACCATTTCATTTCCATTCTCTGGCAAAGGGAATATTGTGGCCTCCGCAAATTTGTATATCCATTATCTCTTATGTGCCAAGTGCTCCCATGAAACAAGAACAGAAACTTCCCCTTAGCTAGAAAATGAACAAACCCGCCCTATTATGGTTGGCGGCGTCACTTTTCAGCCGACATTACATCATCTGGACATCGATATCACGTTTATGCTGAGTTGCTTTTGCGGAAAGTATTGCGACGTCGACGACAGTACATCTATGGCACAGGTAGATGTATTCCATATTTTCGGATTATTCTGTTAATCGCCCTAAACTGCAAGTTGGCCAAAGTTTCTTCCAGCGGGCAAAAATTATTGGCTGTACCGTCCACCACCTGTTGCTGTGCTTATTTTTCTTAGCCTTTTTTCACTTTAAATTTGTAATGCCGCCACGCCTTATATAAAAATAGTCAAACTAATCTGATACAGTTTTAATTGTACTCTGATTATCAATTTGGTGAGCATAATACGGCATTTCCACGACAGCCCAATTACGTGTTTTGCTCTCTCAATTACGAATGCGAATTAGCCCCATTAATACGGCACGCAGTTTGACTATTTTCGGTTTCGCT